CCTTGGCGGCCCAGTCTGATTTTCTGGGGTTGATCCACGACGTGGCAGCCTGCCACCAGGGTGCTCCTGTCAAGTTCTGGGTCCGTGACCGATTGTTCACCAAGGTCACCGACATCATGGAGGAGGCCACTCAGACGCGTCGTCTCCCTCCAGGACTGGCGGCCAAGCTTTTTGGCTGCCTGGGATTCTTGACGACGGGATGCTTCGGCAAGCTCGGCCGGTCGGGCCTCCATAGCATCAAGGAAAGACAATACTCCTCGCAAGTCGTGATGACACCGGAGAATATTGAACAGTCCTTTGATAGAATTCGAGCGCTACTTCAGTTGAAGCCTGAGAGAGAACTCCCGCTCAATCCAGTACGGCAACACCGGTACTTGGCTGCGTCCGATGCGGCGCAAGAGAGGCCTCGCGAGGGTTCTGCGGGAGTCTTGTTCATTGACCGACCCCCGTGGTAGCCGAAGGGCCTATGTTGTCCACATCAGCCCAAAGATCTTCACGGTGTGGTCCCATCATGAGGCCAAGATTGCACAGCTTGAGCTCTTGACAGTCTACATGGGCCTTGCATACAATGCTTCATCCGCTCGCGGAATGCATGGTATATGGTTTGTTGACAACATCGCTGCACTCATGGCCCTCATACGAGGCCGCAGCAACAACGATGAGCTGGATTCTATGGCCGGGGCCATCCATGGCCTCCTGTTTGCACTCCGTAGTGCATGCTATTTTGAATGGGTCCAGGGTAAGGACAACTGGCTGGCAGGCATCAGCAGACAGGGAGAATACGACCCGTGGTTCCAACAACATGATTTTCGTCTCTTCCACACCTACCCCCTGCTCATGCTCCTCCAGCTGCCCTACCACCTCATCGCTCAGGTCTTTCAGTTCGTTTGAGTGCTTTGGATACGTTAGTGCCTTGGATGGAGTGCTCCCACAGGGAGAGTGTCAGATGTCAGATGACACAAGCGACGTGGGTCGCATTTCAAACCAAAGCACTTCAGTACAGACAGTACAGACCTGAATCGATTCGCAGAAAAGGGTAGCAGCAGTCGACATATATGTTGAGCGAGATTCATCGATTATATTCAATCATTTAAGGTAGGCAGGGTCGGTGATGATGAATTATTTGGGAAGCTTCGAATCAACGTCTCCCAATGTTTGAATGCTCAAGCCAAACTGGGGAGACGCCCCTTGAGGAGCAGTGTCGCTGCTGGTACCTCAAGCTAAACTTTTTCTCCCACCCTGCCACACCCTGTTAGTTACTTGCATGTCCACCTGGTGCTGGTCGAGCTGGTGGCTGACTTGGCTTGTTGCCGGAAGAGTCTGGCTTCCTGGTGATAGTCACTTCACCTGTGGCCTTGCTGGTGCTTGAGGGCCGTATTTTGGGTTACTTTCAGTTACCATGGCTATGCTTGTGACGCTTGCAGCCTGGGCTGCCGGCCATGAGAGACTAGGACTGTGCTGTCTGCCGCTGCCGTCCGGTTGTCCTTTTTCGGCTGTCCGCCGCCTAGCCATCATACCTGTTCTGCCGGTCCCAGGTATCGACGATGACTAGGACTAGGGAGTTTCATTTAATCTTTTCATTTGCTCTGTCCAGAGCAGGCATCCGTTGTGGCCGTAGGACCGCCCCTGCGGTATCCTCTCGGTCACTACATACGGATGGAGTGCTCCCACAGGGAGAGTGTCAGATGTCAGATGACACAAGCGACGTGGGTCGCATTTCAAACCAAAGCACTTCAGTACAGACAGTACAGACCTGAATCGATTCGCAGAAAAGGGTAGCAGCAGTCGACATATGTTGAGCGAGATTCATCGAATATATATATATATATAAACACATGTTACAAGTTCAAGTATGTATATATTATATATATATATGTCATTCCGAACAGGATTAAGCATTCAAGAACCTTTGCCAGTGATGGCATTTTTGCTTTACTTGGCCAGATTGGATTCGCTAGGTGGGCGGAGCAGCGCTAACTTTAAGCGCTAAGTTCTTGGAGCTCCTGGGCGTCCCAGCAGAGAAGGAACTGCCAAACGCTCTGGCTGACACCATGAAGGACAGCCTCAAAATGCCGAAGTCACGAGTCACTATTGGGCGGGCTACCTTGGAAAGATCAGATGCGACAGGGGTTTGTTGATGTGTTGAAGGATGTTGAAGGACTTTTCTCTACAGTTGGACCCAATTACAGCAGTTGAAATCCCCAAATTGACGGTGGACGGATAGAACGTGGTTTCTATGTGCATGCTTGGTCACTCCCACGAACTGGCAACAAAAAGTATCACAACAACCATCCGCAGACTTGTGGGTTCTTCCCTGAACCAAGCATCGTCGCATGGCCAGGACTTGAGTGATTGGGATAGAAAGAAGATCCGAGAGGCAATGGCCACTGTGGAGGCCTGGGAACAGCGACATCGACGGCCACAACGAGTTCGGTCAAACATGTTTGCCATTGGTGTTCTTGCTAAATGAAGGCATCATGACAGCTTAGTAATACATGATGTTTTCCAGCTTGGTAGATCTGATCAAGACTTGATGGTTCATGACAATGGACATTTACATGGAGCTCAAATCCAGCGATAAACACCAGAGATGATTTCAGCACCAGACGTTCACTTGTTGAGTTGTTTGTTTTGCACTGAGCCAAGCTAGGCTTAATTAGCATGTCCTGCAAGCCTGAAAGAGTCAAAAGCCCGATCGGGGTAAAGGAAAATTCCGTGGTGTTTTGTAGCGTGATATTATCTATCTCTCTCCCTCCCTCTTTGCTTCTCCCTTTAACACCTAAAGGAGCTACCATGAGCTACCACAGAGAGGTCATAATAGGAAAGTGTGGCATACGCAGACTGTCATTATTTGCGACAGGCAGACCCCAAGCAGGCCTTGCGCTTGAAGGTGGCTGAGTTGCTTCTAGCTGCACCCGCCGCCAGCCTGGAGTATGCCATGGCAGCTGTGATGAAGGACTGCAGCAGAAGACATCATTCGGACAAAAGGTTGCTCGGACCCAAAGTGCCCAGTATCTCTAGCAGTGACGGGGAAATTGGAGGAGTTTCGCCCAGTAGGGGCAATTTATTGTGCAATGATTGCAGCTCGTTTGGCAGGATGTCTCCTCCACAGACCGGCAGAAGATCATTGCTGCGATAGACCATGTGGAGGCAAGTCCATTTTTGGGGCACGCCAAAAGCTTGGGAATGTATGGATTCCTTGATGAAGGACGACCAGCCTTGCAGGGTGAGAAACTGCTGCGTTCTTTTGTGTGACACGGTACTTTCCATGGGTAGGGAGAGGTTGGACCGGTTGCATGGTTGCATGCTTGATTCGGCTCATCCAGGCTGTGATAGGAATAGATATCTTAGTACCTTTTCCTTGTTGACAAGCTGACTATTTATATTGTGTTGCATTGGCACACTACGTCAACAGAAACAACATAGGCAGCTCTCATTCAATTTCACCTTCAGACTTGAACACAAAAGCAGCGCCGTTGATCTCAATTCTTTCGAGCATGACGCGACTTCGTCACCTGAACAAGGCCAAGGCAGTTTGGTTAAACCAGCAGATCGCCCGGTCCAGAGGTGATGAAATCCTTGAGTTGTTTGCCCATCGCGGCTTTGAGTTCAGTGCTGTGAACCTCTCTACAGCACTACACCGCTTGGCACGCAGCGGTTAACCACCCACGACCGCTTTGTTGAATCTAGATTGCAGTAAACTGCGCCCTGATGTTATATTTTCCGCGGCGAATGCACATACCAGGTCAATTCAAAGCTTTGTTCCCTTTCATTTCATGGTTCTCCGGAGTTCTCCTTTGGCACAACCAGGAGTCGAACAACTCGTTTGATCGATGACTTTGACTTTCAAGCCCTAGCCAACAGCATTTGGGCTTGCACCAAGCTGAGACAGCAGCAGGAAGAGCTGACAGATGATTTGTTGCTCGCTGCCTAGAAGCAGCTGCATGGTGCCCGACCCCAGGAGATTGCAAATTTCACATGAGACCCTTGGCATTTTGGAATATTTTGGACATGGATGCCAATTGTGGGGGGTTGAGTTTGGGTGTGTTTGTGTTTGTTGGAGCTGCTGGAGGAGAAAAGAAAAAGCAGACCAGGAACTGGGCACCATGAAAACCATGCAGGCGCAACTGCTAGATGCCTTTGCACAAGCTTTCGGGAGGGAGTTGACGAGCAACGCTTCGGCTCAGAACATCTCGAACATGATTTGGTGCTTTGCACGCTTGCATTTTGACCACCGCCCATTCACTGCCACACTTACAAAGGCCTTGCCTGATTGCATCGATAGCTTTGGTGCACAGGAGGTGGCCAACACGTCTTGAACCTTGAGCCGATTGAACATTCACGATCTGTCAGCCATGGCCTTGGTGAGCTCCAGGCGAGGGCCTCGAGGGTATGGGAATGTCAGGATAAAGCTTCAGAGTTTCATTGTTTGCACGTGTTTGCACTCTTTGCCGTGTAGACTTGTGTAGACGTTCTTTTTGTCGCATCCCACAGTGGGTCGATGTCAAAAAAGCGCCAGGTGCCCTGAGTTGACGTTGGATCCGCAGAACGTCTCCAACCTCGCATGGTGCTTTACCACTTTGGCCGCTTTCGACCGGCCCTTGATGGTTCTCCTCAAGAGATGCTTTCAGGGGCGGGCATCGGAGTCTAGGCCACAAGCTATATCGAATACCTTATGAGGAATGGCAGCCATGAAGCATCATGACCACCAATGGGTTGAGATGCTGTCCTTGAAGGTCGCCTGTCCAGAATTCGGATAGCAGGAGATTGCGAATGCTGCTTGGGCCATGGCCATTCTGGAAGTCTGGGATTTGCCTGTGCTGGATGCTCTTGGTGAAGCAGCGCTACTGCGGCGACTAGAGTTTGGTGCGCAAGAACTCTCTAGCACTTTGTGAGCCTTTGCCACTCTACATGTCGGCTCCTTCCATGTCTGGAGCCTTCTGACAGAAAGGGTCGGGGCATATGTGTGGCAATTTGGAGCGCAGAGCGTGTCAAACAGCATGTGGACCTTGGGAAGCATGCAATGGCAGGATCTATACTTAGTTGATACTCTGGCTTCAGTCGGCCAAGAGCATTTGCCTGAGTTTTCAGGGCAAGCCCTCGCAAACACAGCGTGGGCCTTTGCCCAGCTCGAACTAAAAGATATACCTCTATTGGATGCGATCGCAGCCAACGCCCTGGAAATGCTCAAGATCTTCAAATCCCAAGAGCTAGCCACCAGTGCTTGGACCTTCGGCAATTGCACAGGTGTCCAATCTGTGTTAGATGTGTTGCTGGAATACATGCTGACAAGTGTACAGCATGCTTCAGCTGTGTTCAGAATTGAGCACAGCAAGAAACCTCCCAAGATGAACCAAGTAAAAGCCTTGTCATATGGAACTTCGGCGTAAGCAAAACATGAAACGCGTAAGGTTGCGTAAGGGAGTTGTGAGACATGCATGTTGCATAAGCTTGCCATATGGATGCACATTTACATGCAAAAGGAGCCTTCGCGTAAGTATTTCCCTTGGAATGTGTGAACATGATAGAAAATCCAGATGCATAAGATCTGCGTAAGGTCTTCTCCAACATCCGTGGCGCGTAAGCTCACACTGTGGTCGCGTAAGAAAAGCATAAGCAGGAGCGTAAGAAAGTTATACAACATAGGGGTTTAAGCATACGTATTTTGCACAGCTCATTTGGTAGCCTTTTCTCATAAAACGACCCTGTTGTGAAATGTCTCATGTTTTTTCATGATATACAGTATATATATATCCGTAGGGTAAGAGATACCACAGGCAGCAGGCACGTCGATCAAGGGGCGCCAACCCTGCAGATCTCTACGAGAGCTTGCTGGAGGCCATTGCGGATGAGGCAGATCTTCGGATAGCTGGAGGCTCGATGGATGCAGCTTCGAGCTCTATGCTGCTAGAGGTCTTGAGGCCCAAGAGAGCTGAGCAAATCTTGGAAGCGCTGCAGCGTCACGGGAGGCTCCAACCACTTCACATTCCAGGCTTGGGCCCCTTGCTTTCTCAAGCTGAAGGCGTTGAGGGGGCCGATGGCCTCGAAAAAGAGCTCCGGTTGCTTTGTTCACTTGCAAAGTCTTATGCTGCCTTGGAAGGGCCATTACTCTTTGCAGCCTTATTCCGATGTTTAAGACTTGGCGACCAGGAACAAGCACAAGACTTGTGGCACAAAGTAATTTCACGCGGCGATGCCCGGCTCGTGGAGGTTGGCGGCTGCAGTTGGAGCTTTCAGCAGCTTCTCGACGTGTCAGAGCCAAAAAGTAGTGCTTGCCTCGCCATCGAACTGTGGGACATCGTTTTGAGCGTGCCATGGTGCGTCCACACTCTCTCACACCGTCCGGCGTTGCTGCCTGATTTTCTGTTGGTCTTTGTTGACGGCCTTGAGGAGCAGCCGGAACTTTTTGTGCTTCCAGTCATTTGGGGGGTGGACCGTGGACCGTGGAGCCCAAATGGTCTCAGAATTGTTTGCTGCCGGCATGATCATGCATGGTCACAAAAGCCGCCCACGAGTAGGTGCAGATCAGGATCAGACGTCCAGCATTTTGCCCTTTACCGTACCCATTTGTAACCTGTCATTCTCCATTGCACGCGCAGTACATCCTCTCCTCCCAGGCCTTCGAAGGTCCCATTATCATGAAGAATGAGATGATGAATGCATCCCTGAACTCCTTCGGCATGCAACCAGGGTGCTTTGGCTGAATCAGGTGCATGGCATGAAAAGAACTTGGACGCCAATCTGTCAGTGTTTGACTGCTTTTGAGCAGCAATTGTTGGCAACTGGCAGTTCCTAGAACAACAGAAGAGACAAACTGTAATTAACAAGTCTTTAACATTCACCAGCTCCTTTCTCGCAGTTGTGACACAACGACCAGCCCTGCTCGCACTGAGGGTGGCCATTCTTTGAAATGGATGTGACATCGTTGTCTTCAGAGGTGACGAGTCTTCAGTCACTCTTTACTCAATGCAACCATGGTTTTGCTCACCGAGCAGCCCTCCCACTCCGCAAACACACATGGTTGAAATGTAATGTTCCTGAGAAAATTTACTATGAAAGACAGCAGCTATGCAGAGCAGCAGCAATTATGCAGGTCGATTGCCGCAACTTTGATCTCGACAAATCTCCAGAAACTTCTGTTTTGGGGTCATCCCCGATCATACAAGTGCATCGCTAGTAATTACAAGTGCATCGCTAGTAGTAACAAGTGCCTTACTGGTAGTATGAAGAAGCTACTAATTACAATTCTACTAGGAACAAGTGCCACGCTACTAGTAACAAGTGCCTTACTAGTAGTAACAAGAAGCTAGTAAATACAATTCTGTTTGATACATCTGCAAATGTCTCAGAGCTCGATGCTCTTTACACTGTTTCACCGTTAGCCGGGCGAAGCCTTACGGAATCTTCACGCTGCACCGGCCTCGCATGTGTCACCTGGCTGAGTCAGGGAGGTTGAAGCGGATGCCAATGGAGTGCTTGTTACATCTTTGTACTGAACACCGGTGACTCAGTCAGTGCAACATAGAAACGTATATTATATACTGTAATGAAACTATGAAACATGCCTTCAATTACATGATCAGAGCGCGGTTCTAGCAACAATTTCCCATCTCCATAAGACCTTGTTTAGGTGTTCAATTCACGCTCTATAAGGCTCTTTGTGCGTGTGGGCCGGGCCTCAAGAAAACAAAATAGGACCTCACTTGTTCATTCTGTGAACTCGCCCGGAGCAGGACAAGTCTTCAAATCATTGAACCAAAAAGACATATCAATTATGTCAAACATGTGGTCATGGCCTGTCCTTATAAACATATTGCTGATCGTGGAGGCTTACATGATAGCTTCCGTTTCTAAACGCTAGCTGCTAGATCCATCAAATTGAATCAACACCGGTGCATGCACCAGTGCATGCATGCACTTGAAGTTGAACCCTTCCTTTGGTACCGATGCACGCGAACAGGGAAGCTGATACTATTTGTTGGGGATCGGCCGTTTACAAGTTTAGAGTTTGTAGCAAGGTACATATTCTAGGAAGTGTGTTTCCTCACGCTTTGTACAAGCACTCCAGGGATTCCATGAAGAGTTTCATCGAGCGAGATTTGCAATGGACGATCTCAGGTGGTGTCGATCACACCAACTGCTCAGGTGCTGGCCAAGAAAAGCCTGTTGAAGGAACCCTTGCAGGGATGCGTGTGAATGGTTTTGCGTCACTTCAATCATCAATACAGTGTATCTCGTGCAGGTGGCGTTTTCCTTCTAAATCCTCCCCGAGACATCTGATATCATTATTGAATGTAGACAGCTTTCGGAATAATGCCAACAACCCATCAGCCCAATTTCCTGAGTTCGGGCAAAACTCCTGAAGCTTGTGAGGTCTATCTCTTAACCAGGCGAAAGAACCTGGCCAGCAGTGGTCTCAGCAGTCCTGTAAAACGAGATGTCAATGGTCCTGGACATGAACTTTGGGAAAGACTTTGAGGATGTACATAGCACCATGTACTGACTGCAGACTGTCTTGACAATGTGAACGTGGAATGTTGGTGCTCGCAGTTCAGGTCCACGTGTTCCCTGCTGGTTTGTTCATCAGGGCCCAGTGCGAGACCTGGCCAAAGCGGTGAACCCAATGTGGCCTGAAGATGGGGCCGAACGAATTTAGGCTGGGCATGTAAGCAACGTAGATGCAGGTTGGTTACCAGTTTGATGTTTGAAGCCTATATAGGCAGAGTTCTATTTCAAGACCCAACGTGTTCATTTGTTGGGGTCCTGGCAGACAGACCGGGAAAAGCACATTTGCTGCACATTTTGGCACACGGCGGTGGTCTTTGCAACAACGCTGGACTTGCAATGCAATCGTTTTTGGCATGGTTGTCACTGTTTGTCAGTGTTTTTTGCTGACTTTGGCCACCAAGTATCCGACGCCTGGCAAGCTGGTGCTTGACATGTTTAAGCTTGGCCCACAGTCTTGTTCAATCTTTGTTCAGTTCAGTCAGGAGCGTCCCGCTTGTGGCACGTGCAATCTATGGACAGCCGTTTGTCGTCCTGGCTAGCAATTGTACAACACTGTAGTGTTGGTCCCGCTGTCAGTGGCTCAGATTCAAGAGAATTATACTATGACTAACAAGGTCGTCCACATGTTATGAAAATCATCATCGCTCAGGCTAATTACTGTTTTGCAGTCATGAATTAGGACGATGTAGGTTTCGTAGAACCCCCAAAGCAGCTCCACAAACAGACGCACCTGCAAATTATATATTGGTGGACCGATGTATATATTATATATGTGTGTTGTGATTACTTGTTATGTTACTGTAATATCCACCAAACTTGCACGTATGAAAAGACATCGCATCACAAAGGACTTCATAAGAACACTGTCTTTACTGTTGCCCCATCTTTTGCATCTCGCCTCATGGAAGCCGCAAGCGACGCAGAAGAACCGGCCAGTGAGGAGGCAAAAGATGTGCCAGTTGAGCCGACTGTGGTGGACTTGAGCACGGTGACGGTTGAGGACTTGCCCTTGCTGATGAAGGCCGTGGCAGCCCTGGCTCTTGTGGATATGCCAGAGCATTGAACTCATTGAACATGCTTTTGTAGAGTTGTGCACCAATGCCGTGCTTGCATGCGCATCATGTAGTTCAGTCTTGGACAATGAAATTAAGGTTTGGAACCTTTGTCACAAGAATGAAGGTGAGGTCACTGTTAAAGTATGATTGTTGGTGAGTGGGCTGAATAAGCCACGTGGATGAGCAAAATTACCATCTGGCCGCATACGTGTGGCTTTGATTTGTCCCAACCCGATTCAATTGAACTATTCAACCTTCAACCTCTTCCACTGAATGCAGTGAGAAGAGGCATCCTCCAAAAATTATGATCCAAGCCGCTTGCAGGTCCTGGAGTTTGGGCCACAATGGAACACGTGCATTGTTGTTCATCACTTGCATCTCGGCTCTGCCCAACTCAGTCAGATCAACAAAATCACACACCCTTCTCTAGGTGATGAGATGGCTCAAAGCGTGAAGATTACATAGACTGCGGGGCCCGTGGAAATAGGGATTCCGCTTCCCCGGATTTGGGCCTCGTATTCCCAGGCAGACCATGGCCAAAGAGGATCCTGAACTCCTCGCAGATGCAGTTCCATCCTCAGCACTCTCCCTTTCTCATGAACTTCTGTGTTTGTAGGCCAGAGATGGCCCCTTTGTCAGAAATGCGTTCAATAACTGGTTTCAGGCATGGGCACCTAGCGCCCACCTTTAGTTACTCGCTCCTTAACACATTGATCACACCAGACCGTCAAGAGTTGGTTACCTCAGGTGAAGCCTTTCATCACGTCACACAAGTGGAAGGCTGCCGACGAGTCACTGGAAAGCAGGAAAGTGTAGTAATTTTAGGAGAGTCTTTCAGCCGTGCCAGGCAAACAGCACTATAGACAACCAACTGTCAGCTATGCGTTATGCTGAACATCAAGCACACACACATACTGTATATATACGTAAAATCAATTCGTGGGACTGCATGTAGAAATGATTGCACCTTCTTCCAAACTTGTTGGAAAAGGGTGCTGGATCAGCATATCTAGAATCTAGAACCGAGAAGACACATGAGACATGAGAAAGCAACAACTACCATATCCCATGCTAGCAGGTCGTTTTGAACTTAGAGTTGTTGTTCGAAAGAAGCATCTCCCCCAGAGCTTTGGCCAGCTCCGGCGTGCCGCCTGGCGGATCCTCGGAGCCACTGGCCTTGCCTGGGCAAGCTTCCTGCGCGCCGTGGAGCATGTGGACTCGGGTGTGCGACGCGATGCCATCGTTGGGCTCAGGCCGTGGGGCCGGGCTGGGGGGTGTAGAGGACGCTACGAGCGGAGCAAAGGGCATTGCTACTAGGCGATCGGACGCTACGAACGGGGCTCCTGGCCTTATACTAGTAACAAGACGCTACTATGGAGGCTTCTTGGGGAGGTTCAGTGTTGGATCGGTTCGGGCGAGCCAGAGGTTCTGGATGGTGCCAGCGGAGCATGAGCAAGAGGTTTGCAAAATCATTGCCGGCTGCTTTGCTGCAACAACTGGGTTGCACATCACAAAATGTGTACAGGTTGATTGTGTTTAAGATGTTTTGGCAATGACCTTTCGAGTCTTGCCAAGGCCTTCTAGAAGACTCTGAGTCAGAAGTCCGGATGGCTGCAATGGACGTGATGCAGGACATGATTCCTGGCGATGAGGAGGCATGTTCTGCAGTTCCGCATGTTGTGAATTCTCATGAGGCACACTGGTGCACTTGGGCAGCGGCAATGATAGTAAAACATGTGAAGTGGAAGCAGCAAGCTGACTTGAGATGTTGATTCAGGGTAGAGAGAGAGAGGGCAGAGTCGTCCCTTAAGACACGTATAAGTCTTAGTCTCAGTATGATCGAGCATGTGTTTCTTTTGGCTTTGCAGCTGGCACGATCAGGCAAGAGCAGCTCTTTTCCAGATGCTTCTGCTGAGACTGGAGGACACCGATTCCGACATTCGGGTGCAGGCAGGCCATAAACATGTTGCAATCACAAGGGTCTCTTAGTCCACGCGGTGCACGTACAGAAGAGCATAAACTATTGGTTTGATGCACATCGGTTGTATATACTGACTTATAGGACTGGTGCCATGCAACATGCCTTCACATCACCCCGTTGTAAAAGCCAGCTCTCGTTCATTGACATTACAAGGCCAAATTCCCAAAGCCATATGTGATAAGAAAGCTGCCCAGGCCTTGAACCTCTTGAGCCTGTATTTTCAGCATGGCTTCATGGAGATTAGCCGGGGCCCTGTTTTCGGCAAAAAGCTCCTGCGACTCCTGCCATCTCCTGCCATTTAACTCTAAGTCGGTCGACTTCGGTAACACATTGACAACCCCTTGGTTTTCCAGACGAACACCACA